AGTTCACCGCCTCGTACCGGTAACGTATTTATGAAGACAGCTTTATCCTATTGGCTGCAACCTACCTCCCTGCTTCTATTTCATTACTGGCTGCTTACTCTTGAAGATTAAATCAGAAGATTTTCTCCTTCCCTTATCTTCTGTGTGCTCTGATGGAAAGGGGAAGGGATGTCTGGATTCCTTGCTCATTCTGCCTGCAGAATCCATCGGAAGATCGGTATGTCTATCACATGACAAAACGAAAACAGTGGACAGTCTGCAGATGAAGGCAAGGATGAAATGAGCTTTCATGACTTTGGGGTGTCAGTGAAAATGTATTCTCCCGAAAGAAATGGCAGAGTAATTTATCTACTATGACAATACAAAAAATAAAAGGAAAGACAATCTCAACTGTGCATATTAATCAGAATTCTCCAGAGAAACAGAACCAATAGGGAATCCATAGATCCGTAAGCGGGATTCATGACAGGAATGGGGTCACATAGTTTCGGAGGCTGAGAAGTTCTCTGATCTGCTGTCTGTGAGCCGGCAGTCCAGGAGAAGTGCTGGTACAGTTCAGTCACAGCCTGAAGGCCTGAACTGGGATGGGAATCCTGGGGTAAATCCCTGAGCCTGAAGGGCCAAGAACCTGGAGCTTTTATGTCCAAGGGTAAGAAGAGATGGAAGAAAAACTGAACTTCCTTTCCCTGTATGTTTTATCAAGACCCTCAAAGAATTGGAAGACCTCTACTCATACGGGGGGTGGGGGGAGTGGGGCGTGGGTCTTTACTCTGTCTACTGATTCCAATGTTGATTTCCTCCAGGAGCACCCTCACAAACATGTCAGAAATAACGTTTCACTGTCTATCTGGGCCTCCTTTAGTCCAGTCGATCGGCGTGCTGGATTAGCCACGTGTCATATGTAGGCTATATGTCTGTATAGTTTTATACAAGCATGAAGGACTGCACGGGAGAATACACCCTGGGCTATTAACATGGCTCACCTGGAGGGCTGGGGTAGGAAATGGAGCTAGAGGATGTTTCTCTCTGGGGTGGTAAGTTTCATAGCGTGCACGTGTTAGGATGGACAGGCTTCATCTTTGTGATGTACCTGACCTAATTTAAGAAAACAGGGGACCAGCAGTTAGCGTAATGGCTATGTCGTTGGACTCCCATGTAGTCAACCGCGGCTCGCGTCCTGGACCCGGTGGCTTAAAACTCATGCGAGGCGCGTGTGCGTGCGTGCCCAAGATCCGGAGAGGAGAATGGAGGAGAAGGGATTGCGGCGTGACCATCCCCCCTGGGGGGTGATTTCTCGCATATATCAAAATAGAACTTTCCCATTTTAGGAAATTATCCAAAAGCTGTGGCAGCATTATGTTTCAAACTGTTAATGAGTAATACACAGATATACAGATAGAAACGCATGTAGATTTGAACAGAAAAAGTCATGACTTCTCTGACAGCCATATACATAAGATGTACATATATAATATATGCATATATTATATATATAATTGATCTCTCTATAAAATGACCTTCTCTCTCTAACTTTGTGGTTTGGTGGTACTGGCTATTTCCTATTATTATGAGCTTTGTGGCATGAATGTTTCCTGCAGTTTTGGCAAGGAAGACGTCCCCAGAGTCCTGCCTATGGAGTTTCTGCCTCCCACTCAAGAGAGATTGCTAGGTGAGAGCTTGTCTTTAGTTTGAGAGGATTTGCAGGTTGTATTTACTAAAGGGTATCTGCTGAGAATCCACTGTGAGGTTTATTACAAGTAGGAGTTCCAGACCCTCAGTCCTAGAAATGTGGGTTCCCTGGCTCTGCCGAGCTCGAGGCCCTGCGTGTCTGCGTCTCTGCGCCTCCCACGTGACTGCCTTCATATCTCTCACTTACTAGCATGACTAGCTAGCATCATTCTGTAGAAATCAGAGACTTCTCACTGAAGTCTTTAATAGGACTCTTCTCCTTATTCCAGAGCACTGGTGTCAGGACGGGGAACTCTGGGACTCTCAGAGCACATGAGCTTGTATGTGACAACACCCCAGATTCAGCGCTCTGACGGACGCAGGTGGTATTGCTCACTCGCACTAGGCTGTCGTTGCTCCCCGACGGCCTGGGCAGGTAGGCCACACGAAGGGAAGCCCATTGCCCACACCGGGAACACTGTGCGGCAGCTGGACGCAGATCAGGAAGGAGATGGGCTGAGGTGAGATGGGGCCAGAGAGCTGACTTTGTGCTTAAATCCAGAGACAGCCGCATACGCCTTGTTCTGTGAGGCTCTTTTCTCCTCCAAGGGGGTGTGGTCACACAGACTCAGGGAGTTGGCAAAAGACCGGAGGTGCTTATGTCATGTTTATTGGCTGAGTTTCCTGGGAGTTCACGGAGCTCTTGGTAGACCTGCAAAGCCCACAGCAGTGCTCACAAGCGTTTTCTCCCTCTTGGAGCTAGTAATGCACATGGAGGGAGGATGCTCACAGAGTGGCTTCCTCCCTCTCGGAGCTCACAGTCCACGGAGTTGAGCTGAGCCAAGGCTGAGCCATCACAGCCATCAGGGCTGAGCTAGCTGAACCAAGGCTGAGCAGAGCAGGGCAGAGCAGGGCAGTGCAGGGCAGTGCAGGGCTGGCTGACCAGGCGCCCCCTTTCTCTTAAAGGGGCTGCAGACAATAGTGGCTCGTTGCCAAACCAAACTGTTGCACGTTGCATGCAATGGAGTAAACCCGCAAAGGCGTAATTACGTAACAAGCACACAAGCGCAGGGCAACGAATGGCGCACGTTGCTTACCCTGCGGCCTTCGAACATGGAGATGAGGGAGCCAGGCTACACCATCCTGACTCCATTTGCAATGCATACTTGAAGAATTCGTCCTAGGAATTGTCTAGCCCACCTGCACTAATGTTCTACTGACGATTTCAGGCTATTCAGATTTCCACTATGTCAGAAGTCTGATGGAGTATTTCTCTTTTGAAGCTCCTCGCAGGCAATTAAAATGCTTTGAAATGCTTCAGAGAAGCCTGTGCGTGTTTAGGTGTGCTAGGTCTCCACAGATGTTTTCTGGCTGGAAAGTAGTTGCCTCCAGGCTATTGGGGTCACTCTGATTCAGACATGCTCAGGTTTCAGCCTTTTGGTGTGCTGGGGCACCCAGCCATTGAAGTAAGTTTTTCATCATCCTCCCACGGACATGCTGGCCCGGCTGTGGCCTGGTGGTGTGCGCATTGTTGGTATGGGAGGCTTTGTCCTGTACAGAGAGATGGAGTTGCAGACGAGGGCCAGGGCTTTGTCTACAGATGTAGGGATCTGCGTGTCAGTGCACACTGGAGGACCGGGCTTTGCAGTGTGGGCAGGAACCGCAGACAACTGTTGAAGCCCCACCTTGTCCCCTGTGCCTTCTCAGCATGCCCACGGGGCACCATCTGCAGACCAGGAACATGCCAAGGCAGCGGGGCCACCACTATTTCCATCACGGGAACACTCATTTGATCCTCCAGTGTTGCTTTCCAGATGATTAATCTTGGTGCGGCTGTGTGCTCAGGCTCTCTGTAAAGGCAGGTGCATGTGTCCGCGCGCGGCTCTGTCAGGACTGCTAATGTAAGCGTCTGTTTTACAGCCCAAGTGACAGCTGTATTGTTCTGGCAGGGTTACAGCACTGACATGTGGAATCAATCTTTTTAACCTGTCAATTAATCAGCGGGCAGCTGTCAGCCCGGCTGAAAGGCCTGAAGGACAGTGCCCTTTCAATAGATTATACTGGGGGCACGGCGAAGTAAAATTGAACACTTCAAGCTTCAAGGAACTCTTGTTGCATTCAAAGCTGGGCTTCACTCTCACTTAAAGAAAACAGGCCAGAGCTCCAGCGGGAGCCCCTCCCAAGGAGGCTCCTGGGAGGTGTCCACATAAAGCCTGGGGAGCACGCTCCTGCGGGAATCTTGCCAGGCTCAAGAGGTCCTTCGCGGGGACTGGCACATTCTGCCAGGCGAACTTCGTCTGCACCTGAGTCGAGAGGGGCACATTTGTTTCTGATGTCTAAAGCAAATGCTGGACAGTGGGATGCTTGGCCTTTAGGAGGGTCACAGAGTGCCTCCTGGAAGGCAGCTTGTTTGTGAAGCCAACGTTTACGAAGCCTTTCTTGTGAAGTGTACAGGGGAGCCGAGAGTGGAATAAAACAGATTCCCCTCCCCTTACCCCCTTCTGTATTAATTGGGGAGGTACAGGCAGAGAGCTGCCGAGAGGATAACAAGAACCGGGTCGTCCACTGACAATTAATTATGATTTGTTAAACACTTGAGTAGACATACGTTAGCATATGCTAATGGCAACAAATGTTACTAAAATACAGGCCTGAGCGTTTAGCAGAGAAAAACACGCTGAGAACCGGAGCCGTAGATGGAAACTTGTCAAAGGAGAGA